AAGCGTGCCCGATCCTGAAAACACGCTCGCGTTTAAGTTCCGAGTGCCAGGCCAAGCTGGCTCCGACGAATCATCAAGCTTGATGATCCATATTGTGCTTCGGAATTGGTTTGAAGATGGTCAAACGGTAATTCTGTGGCGAGCTCATACGCAGGGTGAGGGCAAACTCAGTCACATTCAGGCGGATGAAACCGGCTGGTCAGTTGTGCGACCCACCGATGCACATACAAGAAGAGAACTCGGGATGCCGACCGCGATTCTGACCTTCATCCGTCTCATTCCACGCGGCGAGACGCTTGGTGCAGAAGAAGACAAGTCCAATATGGGGCAATTTTTACAACTCGCCGAAGCCTCAGGCAATAAAGACGGATCCGAGATAGTGCGTTTGATGGAGTCTCTTCTGCTCGATGACGCGCGCCGCACACAACTGTGTTGCTGAAGTAGACAAACAAACTTTAACTCCTAGACTTTGCACAGCATCCTAGAGCATTTTGCCTTTACTCTGGTAGAACTTCATGTACTGTACATGTACATGTAGATTTCGCTAAACTTCGCACTCGCCCGGAAGCGATTAAGTTATCATTCCCATCCGCACTTTACCACGTACACGTGCGCATAAAAGAATGAACGCACAGTACTTGAGCTGTAAGTTATTGTGCAGTTTTATTTGGTTTCAAAAAGTTGTGTTTCTAAGGAAGCTCCTAAAGCTTCCAGGTCTAACATGTCTTCGGTCTCTTCCTTATCTTTTCTGATGGTTCAGGAAACGCAGAGACAGCAGAGCCAGCACGCGGAACACCGCAATGAAGATAAACACGTAGCCGAACTGCGTCCACATGTCCGAGTGGTGCATGCCGAACACTGAACCCACGTAGTCCTTCACCGTAATGTGGTCGATCGACACCGGTAAACTTGTCAGTGGCTGGCAACCGAGCTGCGAGCCAACGTTCTCGTACACCTTCGTGGTCTCGTTCCACGTAGGGTCCGTGTCGCACTGTCCAAACACCAGCGAGCCGAGGATGGCCAGCGGGTAACGCTGCGGCGTGATAGCGTACAGCCACTTGTAGCCACTTGGGATCGCGTTCGCAGGAGGATTGAAGCCCATGAACAGGAAGAAGATCGAGTTCATCAACACACCGATAATAGCCGCCACCTCCACGCTCGGCATCGCGTACGCTAGGAACTGACCCATGTACGTCTGCAGCAGGATCAACAGAGAGATATTCACCCAGTACAGCAGCGCCGTGTCGAAGCCTGTGAAGCCCACCATGAAGAACCACACGAACGTAAAGATGAAGCCACTCGCGAATACGTACGGAATCTCCGCCAAAGTCGAGCCCACAAAGTACCACAACGCGTTGTACGTCTGCGCGGCACGCTCGCGGTAGAACGACTCGCGCTCCTCGCACGAAATAGGCAGCACACTGTTGAACGACACGATACCGTTGAACAGCGTCGTCATGAACACCATACCCACACCGCCGTTGATGCCCTGGTAGCTCGTGTAGTCACTATCCAGGAACAACAGACCGAACACCAAAGCCAACAGGAACGTCACGATAATGCGAGTCAGGTTGTACGACGGCGTGCGCCAGTACATGTCCATAAAGCGACCGGTGAGGAATCGGGCCTGCGTCATCGAGTTCGCGGCGCGCTTCTTCGTGAACACCATCTCTGGGAAGTCGGGCGACGGGATCGTCACGCCCTCCTTGGCCAGGTTTGCGTCCAAAATACGCTTCTCCTCACTCATCTTGAAGGCCTCCA